CAGACACAGAGTTAGAGCGAAAGGGAGAGAGATATACAAACTAACTGAGATAGACTGACAAGGAGAGACACAGACATGCAACAAAAAGTGATAGACTAGACTTGACTAGAGCGACAGCGAAAGAGACAAGACGGATACACACATTAATTAACTGAACATAACAAAACAAGGGTAAAATGCGATTTAAAAATACAAATTTTATTTTTGTTAATGTTTTAAGTCCAATTTATCGTGCTTATGTAAATTTGTTTTGTTTTCTTGAGGTAGTAAATAAAAAAAATTCAGGTCTGTCAGTTAACTTTTTCGTCGGTTTGTTGGTCAGCTGAGCGAATCGGTCGCCATCTTTAAATTTTGTTTACACTATAGCTATCTCTCATTGGACCTTTAAATCACGTGACTTCAAATGTCACGTGATAATAGTGACTTAGCCCCTTTTTCCATTGTAAACATTGGACTCTGCTTCTTTTTCCATTGTATACGGATTTTTCGTTTCCATTTTTCTTATGGACTTGGCCATTTTTTCTCCTTTAAACTTAATTCAGCACCTTCTATTTTTAACTGGCTATAAGTCAGGGGTGATAACTCAAAAAAATTAAAAATGGACTCTGCCGTTTTTTCCCCTTGAGGTCTTCAAATAGTTGTACTAGTGTTGTTAATCCAATAGTTTTACTAGAGTTGTTAATCCAAATGGTTGTACGTGTGTTTTTAATCCAAATGGTTGTACTAGTGTTGTTAATCCAAATAGTTGTACTAGTGTTTTAATCCAAATAGTTGTACTAGTGTTGTTAATTCAACTTGTTGTACTAGTGGTGTTGATCCACCTTGTTGTACTAGTGGTGTTGATCCACCTTGTTGTACTTTTTTGGTTGATCCAAAAGTTTGTACTAGTGCTGTAAATCCAAATTGTTGAACTAGTGATACAAATCCAAATTTGTAATAGTGTTGTTATTTCCACCTGTTGTACTAGCGTTGTTAATCCAACTTTTTGTACTATTTTTTTTTTATCCAACTTGTTGTATTAGTGCTGTTAATCAAACTTATTGTATTAGTATTGTTAATCCAATTTGTTGTATTATTATTGTTAATCCAACTTTTTGCATTAGTGTTGTTAATGAAATTTGTTGTATTGGGGTTGTTAATTCAACGTGTTGTACTAGATGTGTTAATCCAAATAGTTGTACTAGAGTTGTTAACCCAAATAGTTGTACTAGAGTTGTTAATCCAATAGTTGTACTAGAGTTGTTTATCCAAATGTTTGTACTAGTGGTGTTAATCCAAATGGTTGTACTAGTGTTTTTAATCCAAATAGTTGTACTAGTGTTGTTAATTCAACTTGTTGTACTAGTGATGTTGTTACTCCTTGTTGTACTAGTGGTGTTGATCCACCTTGTTGTACTTTTTTGGTTGATCCAAAAGTTTGTACTAGTGTTTTTAATCCAAATAGTTGTACTAGTGTTTTTAATCCAAATAGTTGTACTAGTGTTGTTAATTCAACTTGTTGTACTAGTGTTGTTGATTCCCCTTGTTGTACTAGTGTTGTTGATCCACCTTGTTGTACTAGTTTTAATGATCCAACTTGTTGTACTAGTGTTGTTGATCAACTTGTTGTACTAGTGTTGTTTATCCAACTTGTTGTACTAGTTTTGTTGATACACCTTGTTGTACTGGTGTTGTTGATCCAACTTTTTGTACTAGTGTTGTTGATCCACCTTGTTGTACTAGTTTTGTTGATCCAACTTGTTGTACTAGTGTTGTTGATCAACTTGTTGTACTAGTGTTGTTTATCCAACTTGTTGTACTAGTTTTGTTGATACACCTTGTTGTACTGGTGTTGTTGATCCAACTTTTTGTACTAGTGTTGTTGATCCACCTTGTTGTACTAGTGTTGTTGATTCAACGTCTTGTACTAGTGTTGTTGATCCACCTTGTTGTACTAGTGTTGTTGATTCAACGTCTTGTACTAGTGTTGTTGGTCCAACTTGTTGCACTAGTGTTGTTGATACACCTTGTTGTACTAGTGTTGTTGATCCAACGACTTGTTGTACTAGTGTTGTTGGTCCAACTTGTTGTACTAGTGTTGTTGGTCCAACTTGTTGTACTAGTGTTGTTGGTCCAACTTGTTGTACTAGTGTTGTTGGTCCACCTTGTTGTACTAGTGTTGTTGGTCCAACTTGTTGTACTAGTGTTGTTGATCCAACGACTTGTTGTACTAGTGTTGTTGATCCAACGACTTGTTGTACTAGTGTTGTTGATCCAACTTGTTGTACTAGTGTTGTTGGTCCAACTTGTTGTACTAGTGTTGTTGGTCCAACTTGTTGTACTAGTGTTGTTGGTCCAACTTGTTGTACTAGTTTTGTTGGTCCAACTTGTTGTACTAGTGTTGTTGGTCCACCTTGTTGTATCCACAACGCCGCAAGTTTAAAAAAAAATATATTTTTTAAAATAAACTTTGAGGTTCGGCCAACAGGAAGTAATTAAACTGAGTTAAGCTTTTAAGTAACGTAACTCACAGTAACGGTATGTTAAAAAAAACAAACAAAAAAAAACATTGTGGCTCTGTGTTTGGGGAGTTGTGTGGAGTTGTGGGGGGACCGCTGAAGGCTATAGATCTGAATTTAGGTGTGATTAAGGCATAGGTATAATTGATTACCGTTTTTCTTTTCTGTTTCTTTTTTTATTTTTATTTGGGGGGGGGGGGTGATTTAAAAAAAAAATTATTTATTACATCACATGTTTCTGTCATAGTTCAAATTTTTTAATTTTTTTGACATTGTTCAAATTCGTGAATGTCTATATGTCATAGTTCAAATTTGTGAATGTTTCTGTCATTGTTCANTTTTTGTTTTTTTTTTTTTATTTTTTTTTTTTTTTTTTTTTTTTATTTTTTTTTCTTTTTTTTTTTTTTTTTTTTTTTTTTTTTGTTGATATCCACGGGGCAGCTGTGAAAGAATGTCACGACAAGAATGATGAAATGACCTCTGACCCCTGATGCCATTTTCGTCCACAGGGCAGCTGTCAAAGAATGTCACGACAAGAATGATGAAATGACCTCTGACCCATGATGCCATTTTCGTCCACATTACAACGTTTCACGTTTGGAAAAAACAAAAACAACTATAGACAACCATTGACACCATAGACACCCGCTCTAAGTCTGTCAACCTGTCACATTTTGATGGCTATAATCCACGACAGCCCCACCAATCCCATCCCTCTCAGTGGTTGCAGCACTTCAAACACCCACTCTCATTGATTTTAACTTTTCAACTCGCCACCCCGCACTGGTTGTAATATTTCAACTCGCCACCCCGCAGTGGTTGTAATATTTCAACTCGCCACCCCGCACTGGTTGTAATATTTCAACTCGCCACCCCGCAGTGGTTGTAACATTACAAATCGCCACCCTCACTGATTGAAACATTCCCCCAATCAAACAGAAAGTTGTTTTTTTTTTAAATGTTATCTTTTCTCCCCCTTAAAAGCAGTCAACTCTGTGGAGGAAGTTAAAGCGGATGAATAGAGAGCCACAAGAACTGTAAAGCCATAGAAGCAGACGCGACGTAATAGAATCACCGAAATAGATCGGGTTTAGTCTTCCATCGAAAGACATGAAATGCTGCCCTTGTCACGACTCGTCCTTTCCTTTCCTTCTGCCTCCCAGTTAACAAGATCAAATTTGTAGCAAGAGAAGGTGGGAGGGAGAGAGGGGAAAAAAATGAATTTTCTACCCTCGTTATAGGGCTCGGTGAATGGTTGTGTACTTTGACGAGTTCGTCCAACACTCGTTACCTGCGTCTATTCATTGCCGTGCCGTTTAAGTAAGAGCAGCGACTGTGAACCCCTTCGCTCGTGGTAACTGTGAGTTGTCTTTTATTGCTTGTCGTACGAGGAGAGTCTGAGGGTCAAGATCTGAGACAGAGCGAATTTCTCGTGCAATTCACTTAAAGATAGATCTATAGTAAATGTTATGGATGGGGGACACAACATACCGGATGGTTAGTATCGTCTGTTTCGGTGGGTGTTGATTCGTCAGATCAGCTGGTCATAGTTGTAATCGGGTAATCGGACGTGGTTTCTGCAGGGACATGACGACATCGGACTTGTCGTAAAAGCTAGACTAGTCGGTACCTACAGGAAGTGTGGTTGGGGGCCCCACCACTCAATGTCACCACGTCTGACTGTGTCGATATCGGCTATTTTCGGAGCGAGTCGAGGACCCCCCGGGGGGCGAACAATAGCCACGTGAGAGCATCTTGAGGATGTGGGGAGTGGGGGGCGCCGGGACAACACCGCACCGTGGAACCTTGGTGGGGAAAGTTGGGGGTGGCGGGCAAAAACATTATCTCCCCATTCTCAGGGAGCAAATCGAATCTGAGTCGCGATAATGGGAAAGGAACGAGCGCGCAAGTTGAGTTCGCTGTGGATGGATAAACCAGCAGATTTAGGCTGGCGCTGATGGGGATGGTATGCTGCTAGCGGAGGATGGAGGGAAGAAGCCGGGGGGAGGCGGTGACACCGGTAGGAGGAGGCACGTGAGTGACCAGACCCCGGTGAGGCCGGGGAGGGAGCGGTGCGCCGTCACAATGGATCTGCTCGACGAAATGGATAAAAAACTGCTAAAGTCATTGCTGAATGAGGGGTGGAGGGGCGACCCCAGGCGGGGGGAGGACTGCGACGGGGGTGAAAAAACGCGAGTGAAATCCCCGTTAAATGAGACAAAGACGCGAGGCGGAAAGAGTCGGCGCGCGGAGGACCGACCTCGGAAACAGGACAGTCGTTTCGAGCGATCAATGAGGGTGTTGGAATGGTTGGACGCGGACTGCGGCACGAGGTTAGCACGTCATTACGAGCAGGCTGGCGGCTGGCGACAGCACGGGAACATCTACCTACCTCAGCGGTCACCCCAGCCACGCGTACAGCCGCAACAGCAGCCACAACAACAGCATCAACTACAGCAGCCGCAGCAGGCACGACAGCCGTTGCGGTTGACTCGCAGCAACATTATAGTCGATACGGATCTGTGGTACGGTTACGTCAAGGACTCTGAGGAGGACAGCAGCAGCGACCCTGAGAAGAAGGTTTTAGAAGAGAGCGATGAGGACTTCGTCAACGAGGCGGACGGGGACGACGAGGACATCGTCCTCGCCTTGAAAAAATGGCAGGACGAGCAGCTCTTGCAGGAACATTATGAGGACCTCTCTATGCAGGAGTATGTCACGAGCAGCGAGGATGATGAAAACGCCGACGAAAGCGACAGTGAGGACGAACTGGTGTTAGCCCTCAGGCACTGGCAGGAGGAGCAGCAACGCCAACAGCAGCTCCAGCAGCAGCTCCAGCAGCGTCAAGCCGCTGTCGCTCAACTACCGTCTGCCCTGACGCCCGTTCTGGAGGAGAAAGTCACCCCGCCTTCAAACGAGGCGTTCAAATATTTTTACCAGGATCCGAACTATCTTGTCTGCCATTTTAACCGGCAGCGGCTCACCAATCCTCACAACATTCCGGCCATCGCGCCCTACTGGTGGGGCGACATCAGCAGCGTCCGGGAAGGTCCGTCCTCGCCCCCGGTCAACGCTCAAACATTGGACACAACAACAACAGCAACAAAACACATTCTCGGTCCACAGCGCAGAGGGTCCAGGAATGCTGCCTCGAGAGCTCGGGGCCGTCTGCGGAACACAGGCAGCAGCAATGTTGGTGGCAGTAAAGCTAGCAGCAACGTTAGCGGTAAAGAGTCGGAGGTCAGCGCGAAACTCGGGCAGGTCAGCGCTGACCAGTCTCTGCTGTTTTTACCGACGCCGTCAGTAGGGCCTCTGCTGGTTTCGCCGACATCGTCATCGCAGCTGCTCCCCACGTTTAAAGGCGAAGGGGGTTTACGGTCGCCGGTAGGGCGTGCAAATAAAGTGCCCTCCCCTACCCCCGTGGACTTGTTTTCTGCGGAGAGCAAAGTTGGCGGTGGTTTGGATACTTCTGCCCCAAGCAAAGTCACCGGAGCCGCCGCTGGTAAATTTGGCGAAGACAGTGGACCGAAAACGGGTGGTGGGGGCGCCGTTTCCCCCCATCCGACGCTCATTAGCAAAACTTCTTCAGGAGGAAGCTTCCTCTCGAGTTGGCTCGGCACCGCCTCGGGCGATAAGCAGACTTCTCAGCTAATCAGCGCGTGTGATAACGCGGCCAAATCAGGGGAAGTTACCGAGAGCCAGCGCGAGCACAAACTCGTCTCCAGCACATTTTCGACAGCGTCCCAGGATTCAGGGATAGAGAAAAGTCCCGGATATCTATCCCCTGCTCCCAGGTCGGCAGGAATAGAAAAACTCGGTAAATTTTTCCGTCATTTCTCGAACAAACTTTCACCTACCGTGGGAGGGTCTTCCTCGACGTCCACAAAGACACCACCGCCAACACCGACCACGCCAGGAAGGCAGCAGTATTATCCACAGCAGCAGCAGCAACAACAACAATCGTCGCTAAAAATTGCAGCGGGCGCCGTGGGGAAGCTTTCACTCTCCACCTCTTCCATTCCGAATCCCACGTCATCACATTTGCTCAAACCACTCTCGCCCTCGCCAGTGGCGGGGTTCGCAGCCCAACACGCTATCTGCTCGGCCACCCGATCCGATCCCTTGGCCACGAGCTCCGTGCCTAAACGCCACACGGGTTTGTGGTGGAGCGGGCAACAGCAGCACCAGTTTCAACAGCAGCAACAACTACAGCAACAGCAAAACAACAACAACAGCAAAGACACGCCTCGGGCTCACTTGACCGTGCTGACAACCGCCACGGTCAACAACGCAAGTGGAGATAATTTCTGTAGTTTTAGCGCGGGAGGTGGCACCGGCGAGGGCGGCGCAGCGGGGGGTGGTGGTGGTCGGTTCACCGCGGACGACGTGAGTCCCTGTAACAATCCGCCGGTGACTCCAATCGATCGCAGGGGTACGCCGAGCATCGATACCTCCACCGCGGCCGGCTGCGGCGGAGACCGGTTGAAAAGTCCGGGTGGGCCCAACAGCAACATCGGGAAGGCCCTCGTGGGAGGCGGCAAGGAGACCCAGCCCTTCGTGGTGCCCCAGGCCTACCAGTCGCAACACCTCCACGCCCATCAATACCTGACTGTGAAAAGATCAGCCGGGGAAATCAATAAAAAGAGTTTGGGCGCTGAAACTAATGACGCCGCGGACCAAGTCGAGAGCGGGGACAAGTCCGCGAGCAGATATTTTTTTAAAGATAACGCGGACAGTTTGAGGAAATGTAACGAGGGCATTGATGGCCCGAGCGGTGATAATGAGACGCTGAGTGGCGCGGGCACGGCGAGCGCTGTTAATAGCACCGGTTTCGGTGGATTTACCAGGGCGGCCCAGCAGATACTCAGGAGATCGCCAGTGTCAGATATAGAGCAAAAAATTCACTCGGACAGCGTTGAGCGGGACCCGCAAGGAAAATTTAGAACGGTCGCGAGCGCGGGTGGGCTGGCCACGAGTGGTGGTGGTGGTGCCAGCGAGGGCGCCGGTGGTTTGGCGGGGGGCGCGCCGCAGCAAGCTGGAAGCGGTGATTACAGCAGCGTCCCGCTGGTGAAGTCGATGACAGATTCGAAAAGGAAAGGCGCTGTGAAGGAGGAGTTAGTGAGCTCAAGGTGTTCCGAACGGTCATCGTCCACGAGCAGTGATGAGAAAGGTACACTACCCGTGCCCGAGGCGGACAGAGGCAGGCGAGGCTCGTACGGCACGTGTAACCATTTGTTCCTCGAACAAGCAACTGGTAGGAAATCGCCTTTACCTCAGAAGGTGAGAAAGTCCCCGTCGCCCGTGAGGCGCGCCTTGTTCAAATCGGTTGTGAATTCATCGTCCAACTCCTCATCGTCGTCATCGGCGGACTCGTCATCGAAACAGAAGGCCGGGCGTATACTATCGTCGTCTTCCCCATCATCACCTCCGCCCTACCTCTCCCAACAGCCGGCCGACAAGTCATCGCCCCTGAAAACGTCCCCCAAACACCAGATTACCCATCCGTACGGCAGCGGGTTGGATTCGCCCACGAAGAAGACCATTTCTGACGCCCCTCCCGCCAACTACCGAGGGCGGAGAAAGTTCTCCGACACGGGTCTTACCCCGGTCCCTCGGCGTCTCTTCAGCGACGGCAGACGAGGTTCACTGACGGACGAGCGGACCCTGGTATCCGCCAAGTCCAAACTCGGGAAGCTGCGTTTCCAGGGGCGCAAGTCCTCGGACGCCAGCAGCGTAGCCGCCCTCGTCAAACAGATCCACAACTTGTGGGGGGACGGAGACGAGGAAGAGGGCGGGGATAGCTCTATCGAACCGGCCCAGTCCGGCGCTGGATTACCGTGTAGTCTGGACGATCAGGCACTCTGTGATAAACGTAGGAAAAAATTCCCCTTTCATATTAGCAAGGATAAAGACAGCGGTGGAGGAGGAGGAGGCGGCGGCGAGGGGAAATCGGGAAATAAAATTAGCTGCACGTCCAAGACTGTCAGTGACGGGAGCCCTCCTACGGGCTGCGGCCTCGGCTGGGATGCCAGGAGGAAATTTTTCGATAAGGACGTATCACAGTCACTACAGCTAGTGCCGACGTCATCAGCACAAAACCCTTCGTCAGTCGTCGCTACAGGAGACGCAGGCTGTCAGACTCCTGATCAGGTCAACCGCTGCGTTCTAAACGACACGTCTTGTAATGACGCGACAGCTTCTGGCCCTGACGCCGTGTCATCCGCATCGGGAGGAGGTGCTGGGATAATTGGAACTTGTGGAGGTGCCGTCGGCGGTAGCGAGTTTGTCGCCCCTATCGCCCAAGTGGCCAGCCGGCAGTTGGTCGCCACAGCCGTGAGCAGCGCTGCGTGTTTTGTTGGGCTCGACTCTCCGGATTCACTGCTCCAACGTACGCCGGCAACGACCACGACAACAGCAGCCAGCGGTTCTCAAACTTCCGGGACTAACACCACCACCAGCGCCACCACGAACGTTAAGCCGTCCCCGAACAACACCGTTATCTTCGCCGGAAACATAAAATCCGGCAAAAAGACAGCCACCGTTCAGTTCCAGCCGATTGTTAGCTGGGACGATAACACCGTGGGGGAGAAGGTCTCCCCGGCCTTGAAATCGGTTCTCAAGCAGGGGGCCAGGAGACATTCGTCATTCGCCGGATTTTCAGACTCTTGCGATAATCTCTCCAATTCTTCCAAAGCCGGACATTCCGAACAACTTGCAGCGGTTCTCAACAAACAGGCCAAAAACGGTCTACCGAAATCGAAAACGTCGGACAATTATAAGAGCATTTTGAAACAGTCGTCGGTTAATATCGACTCGGTGACGTCATCAACTCCATCTGGCGAGAAAAAGCGCGCCAAGTCGCCCTCGCCAAAGTCTCGAAAAAACGAAAAGGGATTCGATTACAGTCCAGACCCGAAAAACTCTGAGATTTCCCTTTCCCTGTGTCTGAAGGCCACCAGAAGCCTTTCGCCAAAGTCTAAGAAATCTCGCGGCGACGAACTTTCAACTGACCAGTCCTGTCAGGTCACCCCCTTGTCATCTACCGACCGGGAACAGCTAACCGACTCCGGGAACTGTTCCCTCGACCTGCCCACGAAGACTGTCGGGGTACAGGCCACGCCCCGCACCATCGGTAAGACGTCCAACACCGGCACCCAGACCACAGATCTCCCTGTGACCGGTGAGGTGACCGCCGAGTTCCCCTCCAGCCCCCCTGAAGGCGCCGGTTGGCTGCAGCGGCTCGCGGCCAAGTGCATGGCGAGTGTAGGCGGGGCCAGCCGTTCGGGGAGTCCAGGTGGTCCAGGTGGCGGCGGCTTACCCAGAGCCGCTAGCGTTCGCGCCGAATGGCTGTTGGGGAGTAAGAGAATGGGTTCGAGCCCCAGTTCACCGGTCGCCCCCGGGAGCGACGCCAGCGAGAAGTTTTGGGTGCCGCATGACGTCATCGCGAGGAAGAGGGCCCAGAGCCTGGTTCCGAGCTTGTCCAAGCAGGAGAGCGAAGATGGTGAGTACAACAGTCAGTTTGTTAACGTGTACCTTGCTTTATAAACACATTCAGATCACCCAATTAAGACAACACGCGAAAGGTAGTCACAACATAACCCTACATAAAGTACAACACAGCCCGAGGAGTAGTTACAACACACATCCAACAGTATTTACTACACACCCGCTTAGGAGTGTTTTAGACGGACTCCTCAATTTTTTTTTTCAACATACCACTATTAAATTACAACACAGCCCAATAGTATTTACAACACACCCTTACATTTTTTACAACTCAGACGTCTCAGACCTATATTGTTGACAACACACCCCATATTATGTACAGCGCACCCCCGTATTATTTACAGCAAACCACTATATTATTTACAACACCCCCCCCCCCCAAAAAAAATGTTTGACAGCACACCCCAATATTATTTACAGCACACCATCTCAGACCTATATTGTTTACAACACACCCCATATTATGTACAGCCCACCCCCGGATTATTTACAGCAAACCACTATATTATTTACAACACCCCCCCCCCCCAAAAAAAATGTTTGACAGCACACCCCAATATTATTTACAGCACACCCCTTTACTGTTGACAGCAAATCGCAATATTATTTAAAACACACCCCTATATTATTTACAACATCCTTATACTGTTGACAGCACACCCCATATTATTTACAACACAACCCTATACTGTGGACATCATACTCAAATATTTTTTTGCAACATACCCTTATATCTTTACAACACACCCCTATACTATTTACAACATACGCCTATACTGTTGACATCACACTCTAATATTATTTACAGCACACCCCTATATTATTTACAACATACCCCTATATCTTTACAACACACCCCTATACTATTTACAACACACGCCTATACTGTTGACATCAAACTCTAATATTATTTACAGCACACCCCTATATTATTTACAACATACCCCTATAGTATTTACAACACATCACTTTATTATTTACAACACACCCCTATAGTATTTACAACACACGCCTATACTATTTACAACACACGCCTATACTGTTAACATCACACACCAATATTATTTACAACACACCCCTATAGTATTTACAGCACACCCTTACAGTGTTTACAGCACACACTTAGGGGCTTACATACTAATCATTATATTTATAGAACATCTATTTTGTTTAGTGGTAGCCCCACACCCTCCCTCCCCAACGACGAAGCCCCTTCACCCCATCTCAAACCAGCTGTTGCTCCACACTAATGTGTCGCGCCAATTTTATGACCACGTTCTGTCGAGGCCATTTCGTCCACGGACATTTGGTAGAACATCGGTGTGACCAGGTCTTTACGCTGTGCAGGTTCAGATTTACACAGCTACCCCGCTAACCCCAATCTTTCTGGCTTATTCCAGACAAACCCCTCTACTTTTACAATCCCTTCCGCATATCACCTACTCCTGCCACTCAACGCACGCCACTCCCACACACAATTACCACACATCCCGTGCATCAATCCCACGCACCCTTTCCTAACACCACTCCCACACGCAGTTCCTACTCATCCCACGCACCACTCCCACACACCACTCCCACGCGCCACACACCACTGCCACTCTTCACTCCCACGCTTCACTCCCACACACCAGTTCATTTAGCCCCCCCCCATAATCATTTCCACTCTCCCTTTCAACCTCCAATTCCACAATTAACCCCCCTCCCCCCCCCTCACACACACAAGCTTCCCCTACAATTGAGAGTTCTAGGATCTGTGTTTCCCAAAGTGGTCTTCACGGACGGGAACGGTCCACGGGCCTTGCCTTGCCGGTCCACCCAAAAATAAATATAAAGAAAATGACGTATTATAAAAAAAAAAGCAAATAAAATATAACTGAAACATTCTGGCACCAATCCACCAAACTTAAAAGTTTGAGAATCGCTTTTATGGAAAACGTAATGAAAACAAGTACGAACATAAGCAGGTCACAATTATTATTTTTTTTTTTAACCTTGTTGTCAATGTTATAATCAGAGTTTGTCAAATTTCCCCTTAAATAGTTAATTGTCAAGCGGGTGATTATTTTAATTTCGTAAATTTTACGAAAGCATGAATCTAGTTTCCGGAAGGTCTTGTGTACAGCATTAAAACTTTTCTGTGAACCGCATATGGCCCGCGGGCCGCAGGTTGCACCACCACAGTGATAGAGGATCTTTTAAATGGATCTCGGTAGGGGATGTCTTGATATCCACATCCTCAAATTTGGTCAAGAATAGTAAAGCATGAATTTTCAACTACCAAGTTAGACTGGACACCGACTTAAAGATGACACTTTAACATAAAGATGACACATTGACTTAAAGATGACACATTGACTTAAAGATGACACTTAAAATAAAGATGAAACATTGACTTAAAGATGAAACATTGACTTAAAGATGAAACATTGACTTAAAGATGAAACATTGATTTAAAGATGAAACATTGACTTAAAGATGAAACATTGACTTAAAGATGAAACATTGACTTAAAGATGAAACATTGACTTAAAGATGAATTAAAGATGAAACATTGACTTAAAGATGAAACATTGACTTAAAGATGAAACATTGACTTAAAGATGAAACATTGACTTAAAGATGACACATTGACTTAAAGATGAAACATTGACTTAAAGATGAAACATTGACTTAAAGATGAAACATTGACTTAAAGATGAAACATTGACTTAAAGATGACACTTAAAATAAAGATGAAACATTGACTTAAAGATGAAACATTGACTTAAAGATGAAACATTGACTTAAAGATGAAACATTGACTTAAAGATGAAACATTGACTTAAAGATGACACATTGACTTAAAGATGACACATTGACTTAAAGATGAAACATTGACTTAAAGATGAAACATTGACTTAAAGATGAAACATTGACTTAAAGATGAAACATTGACTTAAAGATGAAACATTGACTTAAAGATGAAACATTGACTTAAAGATGAAACATTGACTTAAAGATGAAACATTGACTTAAAGATGAAACATTGACTTAAAGATGAAACATTGACTTAAAGATGAAACATTGACTTAAAGATGAAACATTGATTTAAAGATGAAACATTGACTTAAAGATGAAACATTGACTTAAAGATGAAACATTGACTTAAAGATGACACTTTGACTTGAAGATTATACTTTGACTTAAAGATGACACATTGACTTAAAGATGACACATTGTCTTAAAGATGACACATTAACTTGAAGATGACACATTGACTTAAAGATGACACATTGACTTAAAGATGACACATTGACTTAAAGATGACACTTTGACTTAAAGATGACACATTGACTTAAAGATGATACTTTCACTTAAAGATGACATTTTGACTTTAAGTTAACTTTTCGACGTGTAC